ATTAAAAAGTTATTTGCAAATATTGTTGTATTAAAGTTAGAAGTAAATATTTGGTGATAGTTTGTTTATTAATAAGATAGACAGTTTTCCAATGGCTATGATTTTTTTTTAATACACAAAAATAAACAAAATTAAAAATTGATGATTAATTTAGAAATTTTAATAAAATAACTGAACTGAACAATTATTAACAAAAACAAATTGTTACGATTGCAATATCTTGGTTGTAAACATCTCAATAGTTCAATTTAAATATTCTTTTTTTGTAAGGGTTGCCACGACTTCAAAAAGTCAGCACGTCTACCTATTTGAATTGAATAAAAACTAATAATGAAATTATTTAATTTATTTTTTTTGTCAAAAAAATATGTAAGTATCAATATTTTAAAGAGTTATATTAAATAGTCTCAGGTTTTTTTTTTGGTCTTTTTATTCCTAGTAATAGATAGTTTTTATTAGGTATTTCTAATAATAATATTGTTTATTTAATTTAAAACGGCAATTATTTGTTATCTTAGTAAATAAGTAACTAATTAAACAACAATTAAAATAATTTTTTATTTTATTTTAAGTTGCAGTATAAAGCTCTGAATGTTTTTAAATAATTTGTTATTTACTCAATTGAAAGTAAAATCGGTAACTGAGTTTCACTTCAAACTAAATATACTGTTGAATAAGAAATGACGTTTACAATGGAAAAGATTTATAGTTGTAGTTTATGGGTTCAGCCTCTAAGGGTCCGCGCGGTTTATTAGGAGGACAATCTTTTCTACGCTGATTGTAGGTATTTCAAATTAATTAATAAATTGTATAGTTTTCATAATAATTTAAAGTTTATTGATTGTAAATAAAAAAATGTGGTAAACTCTACAAGAATAATGTCTGTATTATTAAAAATATTACCATTAATGAGTAAAACTGCTCAAAAATATAAATTAAGGTGAGTTAAAAAAGTGGGTTAAATTGTAACCCACCGTCCCTGAAAGAGATTTGGGGCTTTTTTGAGTTGTTTTGTGGTGTTTAAAGGCGTCGAAACGGCAACCTGGGGCCTCTGGAAGGTTGCACAGGAAAGAGACCGGTGAATGGGTGTGGTCGAGTGAGGATGAAGGAGAAGATGCGGCATCTAGTGAGAGTGACACTGACTCGAAACCCATGAATACGTTAGCATCAGCAGGGTCGTCGGGATCGGACCATGAAAGTAGTGAAGGTGATCCACCACCAGTTAATTTAGTGCTGCGAATGAGGTAACTCGATTCGTTTGTTAGTGTTTCAAATTAAAACAGGAATTGTTTCAGAAATGCGAAGCGCGAATTAAACGACATCCGATTTGAGTTTGCTGTTGGAAAAGATTCGGCCGAAGGTATTGCCAGTGAGTTGGTCGGTGCTGGGCTTGTAGATGGTAAAGATATCGAAGTAATCACGCAAAATCTTAAGAAGCTTATTGACTCGAGAGATATGATAAAAGTTGTAACCTTTCCATTGGTAAGATATTACTTGTTTGGTGTATTGTTTATTATTATTTTTTTTGTCTAGAATTCAGGACTGACTAATAATGAAACTCCGGATGATAAGGCACTGATAGGATTTGCACAGATATCAATAACTGACTGAAACAGACTGGAATCGTAATCCCTATCAATATCTCCTGGAATCTACTGATCAAATTGTATATAGTCTAGGTAGGTTTTATAAATTAACTCTAATTTTATGCACCACCAAAAATGTTTCCGATTTGTTCACTGCTTTTTGTTAATTTATTTTTGAGAAATTTTGTTGTGATCAATAGATTTCAAGTATTTGTACTTAATAGTTATTTGCAGCTGTCAATAATTGTTACAATAAGATTTATTATAGTTTATTCCAACTGTCATGTTTTTAAAGATTTTTATTGAACTGTTAGATTTTAAGAAAACCATATTGCCTTTTTTTAGAAAGCTAGAAATGTAACAGATTGGTTTTGCTTCGTACTAAAAATATTTAATTAGTCTTATACTTTGAATATGGCCTATGATACGGCAAGCCAATATGTTGCTGAGTGATGAATTTAGTAGTTTGTATGTGGGATTGGTAACGTTTGTAAATATATTATTTATTTATTTCAATAATGTAGATGCAATATTAAGAAATGGTTAAAAATAGTGGAGTACTTACTGTCTTTTTCATAACTTAAGCAAAGAATCGATCATATCCTGCCTGATACATTCATATTACATCCTTTTTATTTCCAAATTACACAACTCCATTTTATATTTTTTTATAGTAAACAATTATTCTAATTATATATTGCATAAAGTATTTTCAAAATTGTGAGAACTCTTAATTTCCCCAAAATATTTATTTTTTGAGTAGTAAGATTTTTGTAAACCACGATCTGTAATTCTCAATCTTAACGTTAGTTTTAATACAATAGAATATCAGAAGTCAGTGGAGGCCACAATTCCTACAGTTAAATCTATCTAATGGTCCTCCAACAAAAATAAATATTCAATGTTATGCTTTTGGTTGTTTTTGTTTCCCTCTACTTAAAAAAAAACAAAGTCAAAACAGGAGAGAAGTCTTTTCAAAATTTTGGGAACTAGTGTCGAATTTACCTTTAAGACGGCTCCCAAAACGTGAAACGAAAAAGTATTTTCCTTATCTACAGTATGATTAAATAAAATTTCATGGCACTCGGTATCAAACCGAGGCAATGCCCCTTCTAAGGGCAGATGACCCCAATTATCCACAATCCTAGCGTTCGCCCCAAAATACATAGCATCTGGATTACCAAACTCATAAGTGTGTTGCAAAGCCGTCGCCCCTACGGAATTTCTGCAATTGACATCGGCCCCCATTTCAAGCAGCATTTGGCAGAAGCGGGGGCTGTTTCCTGCAGCAGCAGCGTGTAAAGTGGTGCATTCAAATTCATCACAAAGATTTACTTCAGCATCTAGGCAAAACACTGAATAATCCCTAAAGAAACCTATTTTACCGGCACCACAGATTAGCAAGCAACTAATCTGTGCCGGCACTTCAAACTTTTGCAACTACAAATTCACGCGTGTGTGTATGTTTGCCGACTATTACCAACCTTAACAAATTGCAAAGAAGCGCGCAATTTAAATTGGTAAATTTGAACATGAATATCTCGAAAAGTATGCGTCGCACGTAAAAATGAAGTATGTCAAAAAAGATGCGCAATGAAAGGTTCTATCGAACGGTTTAGTCAAATTTGACTTTGGCGATGGTCATTTTCGTATCTCGCTTAGGAAAAACAAAATACCTACTTCATTTTATATTTTTAAAATGTATGCTTCCGGCTGAGATGTATGAGGGGTGACACGATGGGGTTATCTTTAGTTTGAAAAACCCACCCCTAATTTTTTTTTTGTACAATGCAACTTGTTTTACGTCATAGAGTAGGGTTATAAATGAAGAAAAAAATTACATAATTTTAGATTTTTTGGTCGAGGAAAAACCGAGATTTTAAATTAATTTATGTCAGACAATTTTTTTTTGAGGGTTGACTGTTCATCATTTGAATCTCATGAATTTTCTCAATCTTGTTAATTAATATTATAATTTTAGAATAACTTTTAAGGTTTTAAAAATAGCAAAATTTGTGAAATTTTGGATCGACCAAAAACTACTAGGAAGTGTTAATTTACATTCTAAATGAAACTATAAGGGTCCCAAAGCTCGATTGTAAAAAGTGGGACGTAAAAAAAAAAAAAAAAAAAGAGTATTTTTTTTATCGTAATCCTATTCAACTTACAAAATTCAAACTTTTTTTTAGTAGTTTTTCATAAGAATCAAAAAATGTTGAACCTATCTTATCCGATGGATTTTGACGCGCTAATTACGAATTTTTCAATTATTTTGCGCTATCTCCTTTAGTTTCACCGTAATCGGCGTTTAAAAATTGAAATTTTTTTTGCGAGATATCGACTTGGCTTTGGCCTCAGTCGATAGATTTTCTTACGCTGATTACGATGGAGTTGAACTGATTGCTCTAAGTCTAATAGTTTGGCCGTAATCGCCGTTCAAAAAGTGAAAATTGTCAAAATTGTGAAACTTTAAACGCGTTTTTCTACGAAACTATAGAACTTAGAGCAAAGGGGTAAAAACCATTAAAATWAGCTTAAAATTATCTATTTACTGGCGCAAACCGGAAGTCGCTCCGGGTTATGGRTCCGGGTACAGAGCCATTTTTAGTTTTTTCAAAAAAAAATTCATATCTCAAAAACTATGAGTCTTAGGTCAACAGGGTTTHTACAGGCGTGTTCTCCGGTTAATTTTACATATAGTACTAGTTTTTCATAAGAATCAAAAAAATGTTGATTTTTGGTCAAAATCGGATATAGTGCTTWTACTTTTAGCCTTATTCTTAAATTTATTACTCAATATCTCAAAAACTATGCATCGTAGAGTATTCTAACTAGTTGAATCGTGTTCAGCGAGTAATTTTACGTCTAGAAAACCATATTTCAACCGTTTTTACGATTTTTAGTAAATTGACTATTTTTACGATTTTACTACCGCTCACCTTCAAAAACTCAAAAAATTCAAAATTTTTGAAACT